GACACAAATAACGTTCCGAAAAGTAACTACAGGTAAGAAGAAATTAGTTAACATAACTTAACATAATTTGTGGCAAATGTGGAAGGTTGCGACTGACAATCCGACTTATGTAATCCGTTCTGGTGATCTCGAAGTTGGGAGTCTACTTAGTCTTTCATCCGGTTCACCAACACTGTTGAACACCTTTACTGCTACTGACAGTAATGTGATGCCTCTGTAGTTCTCACACTTGATCAGATCTGCTTTCTTTAGTATCTTGACGAGATATCCCTCTTCTCAGTCTGTCTGTGCTAATCGTTCCTCCTCCCAAATCCCCCGGAATAGGACGTCGAGCTTGTTCGCTGTCGCTCCCACTTCTGCCTTCAGTGCTTCAGGTGGTTAGTTGTCTGACCAGGCTGCTTTCCCACTACTGATTTGTCTGATGGTCGACCATGCTGATTTCTTCGATCGTTGGTGGAGTGCCATTGATACGAAGGACTGTATATGCCGCTTCGATGTCCGTTGAGTTCAGTGGAGGTGGTCTATTTGAGAGTACCTTGAAACGTTACATCCATCTGTTCCTCTGTCCTTGAATTGTTTGTGATTGCCTTGCCTTCTTCGTCGTCCACTGTTCTCTCTGGCTTACTATATTTCTGTACCAGTTTCTTCGTTGTGTCATATTGTTTTTCCATATTTCCTTCTGTTGCAGCTTAATTCACTAACGTAGCTAGATCTTCTGTAGTGGCATTGGACAATAGCCACACAATCCACAAAGCTGTGAACACGAGACTACTCAGAAAATAGATATTCAATATTTAACGCGGAGAAATACCTAACGATGGAGAAGGCGCAAACAAGGAATTGAATGGACTGGGTTTGATCGGATGGCGTGGCTCGTCCATGCAGGTGTGGTCCATTTCAATGTTACTTTATATCTTCTATTCATATTCAATATATTGTTCTTTCTCTAGCCCAACCTTGTTCTACATCATGTATTGGTAATTGATACGATACAGTGAGTTGGTGTAGTCGATGGTGTGACTTCCACGTAAGATCTTATAGATTAGGCAGTTATATCATGACAAATCTACAATTTTATGATTAGGTCTATTATTAGAGCAGTACTAATATCATAGTAGACCATAATTCTACACTTCTACGTATTTCTGCTTGTCGGCTCTAATGCTCCTCTTCACTTACTTGTTTACTTCCGTGTATTCAGTTTGTGCCTTTACTCTCTCTCTGTTCTAGCTCGACTGTTGTTAGTCGTTGTCTTCTTGTGTTTCCTTTTTTCAATACTGTCCAGGATTTCGACAGAGATCCTGATAAGTCGTGTAGGTTGAACACTATATACGATTCCTAAGCTATTCCGAAACCCGCAGTCTAGAACTACACAGCGACTTGAACTCCAGAGAGAAGACACAAGAATGAGAGAAAGCACTTTATTCCAAGGTTCATTTTTGTACAGAAAATCATGGGTATTTATAGATTTTGGCGTCTGTTAAATCAACATCAATTTACAGCCAATCCGATAACAACACATTATGCTACCGACCAATAGTAGCACGCCACGTTGGAATTCTGGAACGTTCCATCACACTCTGATTGGCTAGGACTCTTCGGCTCCTTTTGGGCCTCTGGAGGCTCCGTTGAAGTTCTCCGGAAGCCGACCCAACACCTCCCCCGAATAAGATTTCTTTCTGGGATCTAATTGTATTTTGACGACTGGGCAGCGACGGCGCCCCATTATTCTTGTCGTTTCCCTTGTCCAAGGTTTCTTTTCACTGTTCCTGGGCGTTTATGGCGTTGGTGCGTCTAAGATTGAATCTAACGGGAAAATCGGCCGGTTACTTCGAGTCTGCACCGTTCTTTTGTCCTTAAGGATTTGTTTTGTATGACGTATACATGTCCCAAAAGCTCCTCGAACTCTGTACAGTACTCTTCCCAGTTTTTTCACTACTTCGCCCGGCTCCCATCGGTTCTTCCCGATGTAGGACTTGATGTAAACTTTGTCGCCAACACTGAAGTTTCGGATACTTGGACCGTGACTGCGCTCATCCACTAATTTGGATGGCAACATGGCATCGAAGATGGTTCGAATGCGCCTCCCAAACATGGCTTCCGCGGGAGATTTGCCGTCTGGAACATTCGGGTTCGGAGTGGATGTTAAAAATTTTGCGATCACCTGCCCGGTTGTCCCTTCTCCTCCCCCTTTCAGAAGTGCTCTTTTCAATGTATCCACGAAGAGCTCTGCCTGGCCATTCGATTGAGGGTGATACGGGGGAGATCGTATGTGCACAATGCCATTAACGTTGCAGAAGTGCTTGAATGATTCTGCAGTGAAATGTGAACCGTTATCGGTCACTAACGTCTGCGGAACTCCAAAGCAGCTAAACAGGTCGGATAATTTGCTGATTGTTTCACCGGCTGTGCAATTCACCATGGCGTAGATTTGTGGCCATTTTGTGAACGCGTCTACTATGATTAGATACATTCTTCCTCGTATTGGACCGGCGAAGTCTGCATGCAGCCTCTCCCAGGGACTATTCGGCTTTTCCCATTGTTGCGGTTCACACTTGCTTGGACTTTTGGCTGCTTGTAGGCACGATGAACAATTGCGGCATCTGTTTTCGATATCTTGATCCATCGTAGGCCAGTATGCGTAGCTTCGAGCCAATGCTTTCATCTTATTGATGCCAGGATGACCGCTGTGGAATTGTTTCAGAACCTTGTAACGTAATACTTTTGGAACAATAATTCTGTCGCCAAACATAATACATGAGTCGACCATCATAAGTGAGTCCCGTCGGCGAAAATATTGTAGCATTTCTCCTTGAAAACGACGGTTCGGCCACTTGTTGAGAAGATAACCACTAACCTCTCTTAAAGTCTTGTCATTTTCCGTGGCTTCTTTAATGGCCTTGAAAGTAACCGGTAAACCATCAACTGCGTCTTCCAAAACTCGATGTACTTCTGTTTCAGTCTCGATTGCTGCCACCAAAGTGTCTTCTTTCTGTTTTACTTGTGAACCAATCAGTCTAGATAAAGCGTCAGCTTGTCCAAAGTCAGTAGTGGGCTGGTACTTGATCTTGAAGTCATAACCCAGAAGTGTGGTTGCCCATCGTTGCAGTCTGTTTGCGGTGTATACAGGTATACCTTTCTTCGACCCAAAGATGGCTAGTAATGGTTTATGGTCAGTTAATAGGGTGAACTGACGTCCAAATATCATCTTGTGAAATTTCTTGACAGCGAAGATAATCGACAATGCTTCTTTCTCGACCTGACTATAGTTACGTTCTGCTGACGTTAACGATCTAGCCGCATGTGATATCGCTTTCTCGGATCCATCTGGCATGATGTGAGAAATAACTGCTCCTATGCCGTAGTTTGATGCGTCTGATGCCACTACAATGGGTAAGGATGGATCGTAATGGGTGAGCAGCAGATCCGAGACTAGTACTTTCTTGATTTCATCGAAAGCGGCTTGGCAAGTTGCAGACCAACTCCATTTTACATTCTTCACCAGAAGGTTATTCAGGGGGGCACGTAATTGATGAAGGTTTGGAATAAAAGCTCCATAATGGCTAACTAGTCCCAAGAAGGATCGTAGTGTGGGGACATCCGTCGGTCTGGGCATAGTTTTCACTGCCTGGGTATTCTCCGGATCTGGTCTTCTTCCATCTTTATCGATTATAAACCCAAGGTAGCGTACTTTTTGCATACAGAAGTCACATTTTTCTGGACGAAGTCGCAGTCCATATTCGGCTATTCGTGTCAGCACGTGGTCAAGCTTCTTTTCTAAGTCTACTCTATCTACTCCCATACTTATTATATCATCTAAGTAAGCTGCAGCACCTGAAACATCTTGTAGCATAGTATCCATTATTTGCTGAAATATGGATGGGGCCGTCTCGACTCCAAAGGGTAATCGATTATACCGGAATAGACCCTTGTGTGTGTTTATGGTAAGCAGGTTTTTAGACTCGTCAGCAACAGGGATTTGTAAATAAGCTTCTGATAAATCCAACTTTGCAAAAAGCTTACCTCCGTTCAGTTTAGCAAAAAGATCTTCAGGTAAGGGTAATGGATACTGATGAGTTTCTAAGGCTTCATTCAACCCGGTTGAGTAATCGGCACATAAACGGACGCTACCATTAGTCTTCTTTACTACTACTATCGGTGCGGCCCATTCTGAGAAATTCACTGGTTCAATGACACCTAGTTTCTGAAGTCGTTCTAGTTCTTGTTCAACCACTGGTAGAGCAGCATAGGGTACGGGTCTTTTAGGTCGAAAAACGGGAGCAACTTCAGGTTTTAGAGTTAACAGTGGTTTGGCTTTCGTGCATTCTCTCAATCCTTCTCTAAACACGTTTTGATGTCTTTGTAGCATGGCGTTTTTCTGATTCCATTCTGGGATGTTGTCTGTACTTACTCGTCTGCAGATACTGTTGGTAGAATGATCTGCTAGTTTAAGTGTTTCTATAAGGTCCAACCCCATTAAGTCTAGTGCTGGCTTCTTAGTAAGATACAATCTTGCATTTGTTGTTACCGTACCTTTAGAAACAGTGCATGGCACTTCTCCAACAATATTCAACTTCCCCCCAGATGCACTGTGTGCCAGCTGTGTTCTTGGGAAAACTGTGGGTCTCCCAATGCTCTTCCACGTTTCTGGGCTGATTAAAGTAATATCAGAAGCTGTGTCCAGCTGAAGGCGAGCACGGTGTTTATTAATATTCAAGGTCACATACTTTATTTGGTGGCAACTTCGTGCTCTGTTATGTGATACCAATATCTTGTTGGTTGGAGCCCTATATCTGCATTTCTTTGAGTAAGATTTCACGGAACGTTTTCTATAGTCTCTTCTCCTGCAGAAGTTTTCTTTATGCCCCTTCCGATGACATTTGCTGCAACGATGTTTTTTATCTGGGCAAAACCTCTTATAGCTATAAGAGGTTTTGCACTAGTGCCAACCTCCACATGCCCAGCATGGAGATGATGGTTTGTCGCTGTTATTTTGGAAATTATGGGTACTGGAACCTTGAAGGATTTTTTCTGGACTGCATTGACGTTACGGAAACAGTTACCGTTTTCTACCATTGAGGTATCATGCTTTAAGTTTACTAACCTTTGACACTCAGTAGTCACTTCTTGCAGGGTCATATTAGGGCAGTGTTCGAGTTTGCTTAGGATTCTGGTTCGGATATCGGCATCTTCGGGTGAACGCAGGCTGCAGATAGATACTAAGCATTTAAGCTGATCTTCAGACATGGACGACAATCTAAATCTCTCACATTCTCGGTTCACAGTTCCTGCATGCTTCACCCAGTCATCTCCTGGTTCTTTCGTTAACTTTAAGCACTGGTAACGGATATTAAATAGAGATGATTGTTCTCCAAAGATTTGGGATAGGGTTTTGACTGTATCATCAAAACTAAAATCTCGTGGGTTCTTCGGAAGAATGAAGTTGCTATAGCGTTCATGTTCCATAGTCCCAAGTTTTCTAAGAAGTATTCTGACTTTTGAAGCATCATCCAGTTTGCAAAGATCAATATAAAACAAATCTTCATACTTCTTAAACCACGACTCGAAAGTTACACCTGCTACACCATCAAAATTAAATTCATGGATGGCGTTAATGACTGAATCAGTATGTGATACTTGAGATTCACTAGAAGCAGGGTTTTTCTCGGACAGGCAGAATTTCTGCATCAGGGTTTCCATGATTCTAATATGGGACTCTTCAAACCTCTTTTCTTGACGCACCATATAAGCTTCTAATTGCTCCAAGGAAATATTCATTGAAGTTTTCATCCCCGTCGCCACTGATAAGTCGTGTAGGTTGAACACTATATACGATTCCTAAGCTATTCCGAAACCCGCAGTCTAGAACTACACAGCGACTTGAACTCCAGAGAGAAGACACAAGAATGAGAGAAAGCACTTTATTCCAAGGTTCATTTTTGTACAGAAAATCATGGGTATTTATAGATTTTGGCGTCTGTTAAATCAACATCAATTTACAGCCAATCCGATAACAACACATTATGCTACCGACCAATAGTAGCACGCCACGTTGGAATTCTGGAACGTTCCATCACACTCTGATTGGCTAGGACTCTTCGGCTCCTTTTGGGCCTCTGGAGGCTCCGTTGAAGTTCTCCGGAAGCCGACCCAACAGATCCATTCCTCATGCTGATGCTTGTTGCGACCTCGAACGTCCTGGTACGTTGAAGATAGTGTTTACTTGATCCCTTCCTTCCGTTGTCCACCAAAGTAGTTTTGTTTTGTTTGATTAGATGCTGTAAGTCTTTGAACCTGTTGTTGAGAACTATGTTGAATCTGTTGAGTTTGTCAGTATGTCGAAGGTGGTCTGTATAGAATCTTTGTAATGCTGTTTGTTCAGTTGTCCATTGCTTCTTTAGCTTCAGTTTGATCTTGTCAATCACGATTTTGTGGTGATCTGAAGTTATTTCAGCTACTCTTTCGGTCGCCACGTCTTCAATTGACTAAGCGAATTTTTCACTGATATTAATATGATCTATCTTGTTATCTGTGGTGTGGTTCGGTGGGACACGTTTAGCTTTTTGTACGTCTTTGTGTGGACATATTTTGTCGACTATAACCATTTGTGGAATACACATAAATTTGTACATCACTCGTCATTCTTATTACTCTCTACCAGTCAGTTCATGTCATCCCATAATATCTTCATACTCGATGTTGTATAATACGACTTTGGCGTTTTGCTCTCCTGTTAGAATGATCAGTTGTATTCCTGGGCACTTTACTATGATCGATTGCAGCTTCGAGTAGAACTGATCTTTATCGTAGTCATTACTATCATTGGTGGGTGCATAACACTAAACAACATTCTCTGTCATTTCTTTTTTCTTCGTCTCGAATGGTGCTTTGATGATCTTAGATCAATAAGTTTCTCATCCAATAAGTGAATTTCGTTCTTGTTTAGAGAATATCAGAGCAACTTCCTAAGTGTTAGAGCATTTTATTCTTCGTGACCAGAGTTCAGATTCCAAACTAGGGTTTGAAATGAAAAATAACTGTCTAAGTAGTTTTGATACGATTCATTGCCCAGTTGAAGTCAAAACAGGGTAATAGGGTGAATGACGGTTCTAGATTACACCATTAATATAGACGTGCAGCATTACCTAAACAAATATTATCACCCAGTTCTCCAACCATTTATGGTTCAATCATTAGTCAAATCGTAATTATTATAAATAAATTGATTAAAGGTGTAAGAGAATAACCAAGTGCAATAAATAAATGATATTATATTCCTACCGAATAGTGAAGATACAACAAGTATTCGGAGTTTGACAACGCTTTAAACAATAACACCTAATATGAATCGTACCCACCAAGAGAAATCAAAAGACAGAAGCGAGGAGGTTCGAAGATATATTTGATAGGCTATCCATATATCGAGAATCGTCTGATCTAATCTGGCTAGCGATTGCAGGGGTTGTTGAGCACGGCGTTCCCACTTGTGATCTGGTGCGGATGCATGACCGAGCGCCTTCAGTTAGGTGAGTCCACTAAAATTAATGTGATCAGCATACAATGTTGAAAACTTACAGAGCTATTTATTTTGGGGGATTTATTTAATGCTACAATAGATCACGTTCAGATTCGATCGAAAGATAATATTTGGTTGAGTTATAACAAAGAGCGTTTCCAATTCTGGAAGAGTGCTTCAATACACAATCAAGAATTCCCAATTCCAGTCAATTCAAGCAACATAACCATAAAGGAGGAAGAAATCAATATGGTTGCTGCCATGTATAATTATCAACTAAAACAACATAAATGTAATTCAAGATAAAACATGGAAACTCAGTGAAGACATAAGCAAAAAAAATACAAATATCACCATCACAAATATAATCAGAGAGATTAACAGGATGTAAATATGAAGGAATAAATAGTAATAAATTACAAGTGTATACATGAAGGGATTTTCACAAACAGAGTTATTAAGTACAAACTGTAATGTTAGTATATATCAGTTAAACGTTATAAACACAACAAAACTTGGAGACGTTAATTAATTCATCAGGTTTGTGCGTGTTCCAGTTGAGTTTGGTACCAAAATCCACGATTGTAGATAACTGAAGATTCCAGTAAGATTGATGCCTTTCCAGTGAGATAACCAAACGTAGAATATGGTATAATTTGGCTGTAGTCTCTAAATGTAGACTGTAGTTGATTTAGAGTTCAGTTAACACAATCACGAGCAATAAAGAACAAGAGGTGTGTGTATAGCAGTGTATTTGTTAGTAGGTAACAGCGTGTGTCATGCTATGAGTGTAACACGACGGAAGAAAGTGTGTTCAAGGTCATGCACAAAAACACCTCGTACAACCATTTAATAGTAAATGTACAGGCTATGAAAAACTTACAGAATAAATACAAATAACATCGGAAACTATTTACAAAATAAGCTTGTCATACATAACTCCACAAATGATTTACCACACACTTTTTTCTCAGAGTTCTTTGCATAAATCACATACTACGATTTCTGCTAGTGATACAATTTTTGTGTGATGGTATTTGACTGAATAAAATGACCAAAGAAAAACTTAGCCCCCTGAGTTTTCTCGAACACTAGTTATGTGAGTGTATCATGGCTTCATGGATATGTTGATCTGATTTTCATTGAACCAGTTGCTCATTTTCCAGACAGACCTTCCCATTGGATGTTTTTATTATAAAGTTTAGAGCAGCTTTTATTGACTTTAACTAGAGAAGATCCACATAACATCAGAGATAAATAAGCAACTGTTTCGTTACGATTTAAATTCACATCAAAAACTCTTCAGAGACCTTGTTCTAATTAAATTTTGGGCGTTTTTACCTTCAAAGTAGCCAACAACTGACATGAATCATTTCTCATTATCTGTGACTACAACTATAGTGTTTACAATGTTTTCTGTGCTTGCTATCATTTACTATCGTTTGCAAACTATTTAGTGTTAAAAGATGAAACGTTCTTCAGGCTGAAGTATTTTACGAAAGTGATAGACTAGAACCTGGGAAAAGCGAAGAATTATATCCCACTCGATTGATTAGTTATGTAAGATAGTCGGCTAAATAAATACTCTAATATACATGAATATTTATACGAAAATTTTAAACCAATCAAGGCAATATGAGTCAATAATCACAATGAAATAGAATAAGTCACTACACATAAAATAGGTAAAAGTACAAGTTGATAGTACGAAGACAGGTGAACAGATAGTGGTAAGAATAATAAACTATAATAACAAAACTCTTATCAATAGTTAATCGTTGGAAATAGAAGGTCAAATAAACATGGGTAAATAGACTAGGAATAGTAATCACAAAACCTTAAAAATCATTACGTAATAAGATGTGTGTAAATAATTAGATAGTGAAGAATACAAAGAGGCGGATAATGACAAACAAATAATGGATGTGGAAATAAGGTTAACAATAACACAAATAGAATAAAATAAATAATGATAATAATAAAATTTAAAATAAAATAAAAATAAAAAAATTGTTAGTTAAGTTATAACTGGCCATGGAAGGGATAGAGGGGTCACATATTTCTTCTGTACACATAGATTGGGGTTATATGTACGAATTCCAATGGCTTCAGCTATATATAGGAGACGGGAACGGACTCCGTCGGGAAATGATGGAGGTATACGATAGATAACTCGAAATGATTTCGATTTCTCTACTGCATGACCGCTATCAATAAGATGTGCTAGTATAGAACTGCGAATAGTTTTTCTCTGACCCTTTATGTACCAAGTTTGGTAGATGTTCACTCATTCGTTGGTTAAGTTGCCTGGTAGTACGCCCTATATAGCTATCTCCACAGGAGCAGCTGAATTTGTAAATGCACATGGAAGAGGCCAACTCAGGTAACTTATCCTTCGTTTGAGTAGACATCGCTGGTCGACAAGAGAAGGTCAACGCAAGATTGGCTGCGTAGAATGTCTTGGTGATTACTTTGGTTAACCTATATTTCAGAGTGTCACTAGCCACATCCCCGTTGAATTGTACTTTTACCTATTTTATGTGTAGTGACTTATTCTATTTCATTGTGATTATTGACTCATATTGCCTTGATTGGTTTAAAATTTTCGTATAAATATTCATGAATATTAGAGTAAAGCCTGATGACGATCTAATTGAAAACAATTGTTCGCTTATATGTGTTGTTCTAATTTTCACAATGGGAATCTTTAATATTCTAAATAAATACTCACAAAATTAATACTGTCGTTTTAGTTCACACAAGTGACCGAACTCTCAAGACTCTTACATTGAGTGGGAATTCAAAGTTGAAGAGAGCAATCATCTACCTGCCATTTTACCTTCTGATAATGAATAATATAGGAAAATACTAGTTACTTTTCCGGTTAATCCAGTATTTTACTAGGGAATTAGGGGAACGGATTAGAATATCTCATGGGCTATTGATCAATTAAGCATAAACAGTAAACAGGTTAGTAAACTCATTTTTAGTGGGGCATAGAAAAAATTCATAAGAACTACTCCGCATCGAACATCGACGACCACGCACTGGATTGAATCCATGTCTTTCATGTCGCACGGTAAACATTGTTGGTGGTTTTAAAGCCCCGATTCGAAATTCATTGAAGGGCGTTCTTAATCGCAGCCGATTGGCACAAACTTCGTTCTTAGTTCATGATGAATATTCTCTTTAAAATGTGTACACAATACCATCTCTGTTAGTGAATGGTATATTACATTTTTTAAATTTCAAACTTCAAAAATGAGCACAGTTA